GGTGTACAACAGCCTCAAAGAAAAGTGGAAAAGGCATTAGCCAATCAGAACAGTACGCAAGCAGGAGAGACAGGGTAAAATCGATTTTTTCGGCTTGTTTAAATGTTAACTGTTTTGCACACTTAATTCACGTCTGAAGACGAATTGGAGAACCAAGGTCAAAAATTTACAATAAAACTTGTTTATCTTTCCCAAAGAGCTTATTTCTTTCAAATTATGATTCTTGGGATGCCCGTTTTTAAATACATTTTTTTCTATACACGAATCACTTATTAATTTGCTTGAAATGCACGGATTCATAATAATTTGCCTGAACGCGTTTGGGTTCGTTAGTCCCACGCTGTAAAGGAATGCTTTGGGGACGATTCATAGTTTGGACTTTGCCATGTCTTGATTACAATGCACCGGCAAAGTAAATCCGCCTCCTAAACTTTCCACTCCATTTATGCACTTGTTGTTGTTGTAATTAACATGGTGGCTAATTATCGGCGGAATGGGCGTTCATCGGTCAGGTCGCGGGATGTGCTCGACCCTCTGCTTCAGGGGACTCAGTTTAAAACACTGACAGGCAGTCATCTAGTGACCAGTAATGATGCAGACAGGAGTACCGACAAAGAAAAAAGAGACTTCGGTGGCAATTTCTGGCTGATTGTCCGTCGTTAGCCGGCCCTACCCAACCCCAGGTTTGCAGAACCTGGAATTTGAACCCACGCTCTTCGGTCGCCGAAAGTTATCGAGTCAAAAACGCAACCATTAAGCCACGGGCCCGCTGTCCTTTCGGTAGCAAGTGAGAATAGTAATTATGTTGCTTTTCGTTTGCTCTCGATGACCAAAGAACGTGAGTTTGAACCTCGGGTCCTGCAAACCTGATATTCAGTAGGGCTTGCTGACGATAGCTGATAGGCCAGAAGTGACCATCCTAGTCTCCTTTGTCTTAGCTGACATTTCTTCCTGCATGATAGCCAGTGTTTCATCTTTACCCTGGGACTAATTAAAACTGTTCTCATCCCCACAAAGTGCAAATAACTGTACTCAGAACTCTTTTTCTTACTGCATGAAAAGTCTTACTGGGCCAGCATCTGCGAACTGGCATCAATAAGTTACATAACACATTGTTACACTTACTTTGACTAGTTTTCAGTTTTGTAAGGAAAGCATTACAAAAGTTTGAAAAACATCGTTGCTCTCATTTGGCTGCTAATTACGACTCGGAATCCGGTTGCTGTGTTCAAAAATCATTTACTTGGGTGAGTTTACAAAGAGTGCTCGGTATGAAGCATGACTCAGCCCTTTTTTGAACACCTTTTCAACTACCAGTGGTTACTTTCACCTGCGGCAAAACCATTAGCTAAGCATTGCATCCTTTATGTTGGATCGTGGAGGCATATACGGGTCTAGTTGTATTTACTGGAAAGAATACAACAAAATATGATCCTTTGTTTAAAGCAAGCAATTTATTGACGCTAGTACCCAAACACCGTCTTTTTTTATAATCCGCTTTTCTAATACCGTCTCTCTTGCTTTGTACACGGCTGACTGCTAAATGGGCCCCACTATATACATAGATTTTTCGTCAAGAATACAAACCCTGCCTATAAAGATAAAATGGGACTCCTCTATCCAACTGGCGTCACAAGGCAAATTACATCCGCCTTCTGGCGGCAAAAACTGCAAACTTCAGCCACCCACTTGATTGCACAGCGACCAAACTGGCCTAAGCATTCACGCTTCGCTGGCGGAGACAGAGATCACAGAGACACCAGTTGTTTCTGTTGTTCTGCCCATTCGATCTTTTCCTCTCCTGCGGGCTACGTACGTCGAATTTCCTTATGCGCTCCAGTTAGGGGTTAAATAGGTGTCTTTCCACTGCGACATTACCGGTTTTCTGATCAAAGCTAGGATACGTCCGAGGCACCCGCTGTCTTATTTTCTGCAGCGTTCACAAACCAAACCTCCTCAAACTCTTACGCCTCTATGTCCGTCCGTGAAAATGTGAGCAGTAGTCGTTCTTCAAAACTTTCTTATTGGACCCTTCAATGAAAGGCGTTTCACTTTGGGTCTTTAAGACTGCAACACATTCGGCATCCAACAAGCGTCTCTATTAGTTAGTGTTCACTTAATTTGAGTTCTCAGCACGTCGTCGGCTGTCTGATCGGCCACTGCATCTAATTTAATTTCTTGTTGTTTGAACCCATTTTTCCTACTGGCAAATGATACGAAAGTGCACCCGATATCGGATAACCTGCGCCACTTATAATGATCGGTGATCAACAGGCGGGATAACGTTGTCCTCCGATGTGAGGGTCGGTTTGGCATAGCTTTAATTTACTATGGCCCTACAGCACTTCTCCTCGCTACAATATCCAAGTAAAATCCGGTTAGTGTTCTAAGAAAATGTACGCTTGTGATATGCGAGAGACGAATGCGAACATCCTGTCATTCGTCCATAGTTGATGTCCTCCTCCTGTATGGAAAAGTGATAAGTGCAACTGACTGGTGCGTAGGGGTCACGGACCAATATGACATCGAGCAACTTCCCTGCCATTTGCGTAGGCCGCCCCAGACATATAAACTGCGTCAGATTTTTTAAATTCCACCGTGGTTTGCGGTTTCGAGGATCTTTGTTAGATAAATAAGCTTTCATTGGACGACGGCATGATCCCACCTGCATAAATAACAAGTAAATGTCTGAATCTTTCAGTGTGTACCGGCCCTGATAGGCAGTGAACGATGAATTTGGTAAAGAATGCACCCTAAGTAGTACATCAACGACAACCCAGTCTAGTTCAAGGAAAATGGATAGGCGTTAACACGAGGAGTGTATTCTGTACAGTCTTGAGTACATTCAGAGTCCTCCACGTACGTCCGCCTCAAGGCCTGCATGTACGTCTCCCGTAATGACTAACCGTATATCTCACGGGAGAAACAGCTTGCGCCATCTTAACGAGTTGACGGGGTCATTCTGGTGTTTGTAATCACTTACAGTTAGGTGTCACGGGCACCTAGTGCGGCCATGTTGTACGCATCCAAAAGACGTGGTTATGTGATGTCTAGCACGACACCTGAGGCAGGGATACAGGGCTTATGCGCGTTCACCTTGCCACAGATATCACGCTTACCTCCGGTCCCTGAAAGCTATCGAAGCATACCTTGAATACTCTTAATGTCGTCCTTCGTCTTCCATAGGGTTTTCTTATTCGGTTGAATGGTATGTTTTTTCCAATTGCAGACTACTCTCTCCGTCTGAATCTTTCAATAATCCCAGGTAGAACTGTTTGGCCTAGCTTGCAGTTTATTCAGTTTATTCACACTAAATAATTGGAGCTCGCTCGAGAAACCGATATCGGCAAATCCATTTATCTTAAAATTCATGAGACTTTCAAACCGTTATTGCAATGATCAAATTTTGGTAGGGTCCGAGCGCTCCAGCACCTCACTGGACATGTTTTCAAAGCTTGGACTATCGTTTAAACGGGCAAGAATATCTTGTATTTACTTATATAACACACACTAAGGTCACATTTATACGCTTGCAGAACTATAGCAGTTTAAAGGAAGATGGGTAAGGCGCATACGGACTTGAGAAGGTCGATCGATCTGGAGCGCACAATAATGAAAAATCACAATTATCGTTAGCGCGCAAATAGTACCATCCCATCCTCGGCACGCTGTTCTTTTGACTTTTTTCGCAGCAGTGGCATTTCACTGATATGATATGCGGGCGCGACGCAAAAACGAACAGAAAATTATGTAAGGTAGCTCATAACTTCAGCAAGCCGAGTCTTGCCATGTCATTAGGATATAATAGGCTTATTATAACACCGCTTGGGCACTGTCAGTCCACTCTGAACACAGGAAAATACCTAAACCAAACTCACTTATTTCGGTTGTACGTTGACTTCATTTGTTCTGGATGTCTTTTTTGTCAATGAAGCATGAATTGAGAATTAGTTTTCAGTTTAAAAAACGGAATTCAAGGGCGATTCACTTAAAAGAATCCTTCTGCTCAATTACATTTCAACGTCCCATTTTTTGCAATAAGTTAGTTCAGTGGTTTTGCGCTAAGCTAGACCCTGTTGTATGATGCACAATGTTTTTGGTGTTCACCAGCTTTACTGTAAATTCAGCACAGGGCTTGGTGCACTATGGCTGAGCTGTGATTCGGATGGTTTTTCGTCGATAAGGCTTGCTCTCCCCCGAGTACCAACACGTATTTTGAGTTGAAAGCTATTTAAAGGTCAAGTTATTTTTAAAAACGAATCGTGTCATTTACACCAATCTGGTAATATCTTTTCTGTCAAATGATCATGCGATGCGCCTTCACAAAAAATTATTTCAAAGTGGTCCTGAATATTTAAACATTTGAAGTTGCTTCTTGTGCTCAACCGCTGAATAGCCACACGAGGGTTCCTTTTTGGTTCAAAGCAAATTCATGAGCGCTGTTTACGTTATTCTTTAGCGGAACTTGTCAATCGATAACGCGATCCCACTCTAAAACCAAGTTGAGAAAAGCCAGGCGAAATGACCACGACAGAACAGACGTAACCGTCAACTCCGCCTAATGAATAACGAAATCAACGTGTGGAAAGTCAGTCATTGAGACTGAAACGCACACCGGTTTCAGTGTCCGCGTAACCGTTACATAGACACCAACTTAAACAAAAGTGAATAAGTGCGAATTTTGGAGGTGCTCAACAAATAGAATAGCTATAAAAAGTTGTGCATAAACAAAAATTTGACAAAGAGAACCACAGTATTCCCCGTCCAGGTCGAAGGCCGGCGTTACAACGACGCCAAAGGCAGACGCAACGTCAAAACACTTGAGCAATAAGACGGTCGGGCAAGTGGACGCGACGGCCGCTACGAGTGGTGCCAATGTCAGTGGCGTTGGAAGAGTTAGGGTAGGGGCGGTAGGGGAAGTGAGATAGAAGAGGGTTGGGAAGATGAAGGATCACGGGATACGGGGTCAACACAGTCCGTCCTTGAGGCAGGTCCGGCGGCTACTCTGAGACAGCAGCCCCGGCTCGAGGGACACTGACCACGTCCTCCTTGCCACCGCGAAGGATGAGACAGGTCTTGGTACTGCGCGAGAGCGCGCGGAACTGTCTTTCGTAGGGTGACTCCAACGGCTTGCGGACACGGTCACATGCAACAAAGGCATGGGTGAAGTTGGCCAAGTCTTCTTCGGCATGAGTTGCGCACGAATCGCCGCAAATGATTCACTAAGTGGAAGGGACTTTCATCGATACCACGAGGGATTTGGGTGACCATCTCGCCCGGCAGTCGGAGGGTAATGCCAAACACCAGTTCGGCCGCGCTGCAATCCAGGTCCGACTTCAGTACCGAGTGAATGCCAAAAAGCACCAAGGGCAGGTTGTCAGACTAGTTGGTTGGGTCCTCCGTGGCACACAGGGTGGTCTTCAGCTGGCAGTTAAAACACTCGACCATACGGTTGGAAGATGGATGATATGCCGTCGTCCGAATGCGCGCGCAGCTAAGGAAGTTGAAGAGAGCTTAGGAAAGGGCAGACTAGGACTGGGCTCCTCAGTCAGCCCTTACCACGGACGGACCACCAGAAACGGCGATCCAACAATTGATAAAAAGCCTTAGATATGGTGTCCGCCTTGACTTCCGCAATGGGATGGCATCAGCACAGTGAGTGTACCGATCGACGCAAGTAAGGAGGTGGGTGAATCCATTGGATGGGGACATGGGGCCTATGACCTCGAGCTGCACATGGCTAAACTGTGCGTCGGCGCAGGAGAAAGAGCCATGGGGGACCTGTTTCGGCACCACTCCTTGTTTTTATTGCAACTCAGACATGACCGGGCCCAAGATTTGACCTCCTTGTTTATGCCAAGGCAGACGAACTTTTCGGCGAGGCGCTTTTGAGAGACTTGGATCCCAGGGTGGGAGATTCGATGATGAGTTTGAGACACGGTTCAATGCATCTAGGCGGGCATGAAGGGGCGATGAAAACGAGTCAAGACGTCACAAAATATGGTACCAGTACCGGTAGTCAGAGGAATATCCTTGAGTTGGAGATCACCAACGGACCCCTCGTCAAGATAACCGACCCCTTGTTGCTCAGCCGGCATGGCGAAAAGGTCAATTCCGTGTAAGTTGGAGGGAAGAGAGTGAGGGCCTGAAAAGCATATCAGCCACCTTATTATTCGTGCCATAAATGTGGCGGACTTCGGTGGTGAACTGAAGGATGTAGTCCAGGTGGGCGATGACTCTCAGATTGCACTTGCCGGAATGGGACCGAAGAGCAAAAAGTCTGCGGTTTATGGTCAGTGAAACCGGTCAATGCCCGACCTTCAAGTAAATGCCGGAAATGCTTCACAGTCAGGTTGATGGCAATCAATTCAGGGCCAAAAGTACTATAGAGGATCTCAGTCGGTAAGAACTGTTTGAATGAAAAGGCCGGCGGTCGATTTGGACCAACAAGATGTTGTTGAAGGACCGCGCCTATGGCTACGGTCGAAGCATCTACCGTCAGTGACAGCTGAGTTTCGGGAACAGAATTCGTAAGCAAGGTGGCGTCGGCAAGGGAATTCTGGATTCTCTCAAAAGCATTCAGTGCTTCACCAGTCAGCTCGAGGGGGTCTTTGGGACCAGAAAGCATGTTGGTGAGCGGCAGCAGAGGTCAGCACAGTTCGGTAGGAGCCGGTGGTAAAAGTTGGCCATGCTAGTAAATAGCTGTAACTGACACGTGGAGGTTGATGGAGGGAAACCATGAACTGCTTCGACCGTGGAGGATAGGGGACGCAAAACTTCAGACTCGACATGATAGCCGAGGAATTCGAGCGAAGACACACCCAAAACGCACTTGGATGGATTGATGATAACTACAAACTTGTCGAGGCGTTAAAACACCAAGGCGAGGTGCTTTTGTCTTCCTCTGCATTCAAACTGGCCACCAGGAGGACATCGATGCAGACGTACAAAAACAGTGGTCCACGTAAGGTATGGTCATTGAAGGTCTGGAAAGTTTGGACAGCATTACGAAGACCGAAGGCCATACGGACGAATTCGAAGAGGTCGAAGGGCGTGGTGACGGCGGTTTTGCGGATATCATCAGGACTACCGGAATCTGATAAAAGGCAGGTACCAGATAAATCTTCGAGAAAAGCGTTTTGCCAAAAAGATTTCTGGCGAACACCTGAAGATTTGGTACGGGGTACCGAACGGTAACAAACAGGTAAATAAATAAAATAATTTCATTAAAGACCAATCGGGGTCCCGTCATAGCAAGTAGAAATAAATTTTAGTATTAATTTTAGAAGAGGCGGACTGAATCTGCACAATAGGCAATACGTACTTATGGAATAAGTAGCCCGTTAGGGAAAATGAGGAGCAAGCATTGAAAAAAGCTTCATTATAGAGTGAACAAAGGAATTGGAATAACTTTAAACGAGAAAAAACTTTTGCTGATAAAATGATAAAGTGAGGGCAGGACCGGCCTTCATGTGACAGTGTATAACGGATTATAAACGGACATCGTATAGGCAGAAATAGATGTCATCCATGAGGGGACAAGCATGCGGGTCACACACGACTGGCCTGCATGCGGTATTTTATACGGAATTCAAAACGGACATCGTCAGGGCAGAATTCATGCAGTGAGTGAGGCTATTCGCGTCAAAGTGGCCAGACGAGAGGAATTGAGACGTGATCAGTCACAGTCCGCCTCGAGCTCAGCCGAGGAGTGGGCAAGGGATGTACGACCAAACTACTAGTAGACGGCGAATACTGAGGGTTTCGTCGTGAGCTTCGACAGACCGCTTGGGATCGAAATGAGAAGGTGACATCAAGAACCGTGAAAATCGTCGCTATGGGGGAGAAGTGATAACAGTGGCAATAGTAGCCAATTGAAAACAGGCGGCTGTAAAAATATAAGTGCGGATTTCCACTCGATCCACCATTAAATCCAAGAAGGCCCCTTCTCAAAGTCAAGAAGCCTAGGGTTCAGGAATGAGATTGTTAGAAGTGCCTTCATACTTTCCTGTGTATTGTGTTTTCGTAATTTCGATTTGAATACCGATAACTTAGGCGATGATTTGATTTCTGATGGAGGATTATTGCAAATGAAGGCATATTTGGAAGCAAAGAAGAGGGTGCGCTTAGATGAAGTACAAAGAGGCGGCGGAATCACCATGGATGAGTTGCGCGTGGCATAAGACCGAATTCTCGGAGTGAGAGTGTCAGTGCGCGAAGGATCGGAGTTAGTGTTAATGCGAAAAAGGAAGCAGAGGCTAGCTTCGAGTCTACAAACCCACAAAAACCTAACATTCGCCAGCTGACATCTCTGAGTATAAGAAATGCCTGATGCAGCTTGAGAGAATAGTTTCCGAGTGAAAACCTCTGAACAATGCCGATTTTATTACTGTCACAGGCGTCCATTAAACCAAAGAAAGGACAGCAGTATTCGAGGACAAGGAGAACAGACATTTGATAAAATCTTACCTTCATTTCCGGATGGAAAAAATTATGCGATAATAACCCATATATCTATGCGGCTTTGGCAGAGATTCTATCTGCATTAGGTTGTAAGAGACAAACCCACTAGTTGGGAACAGCGAGTAGGCAGTCAGCAACTTGATTATAAAGGCCTTTAAGAAATCGAATGTCGGCGGTATACTGAGAAATAAAATCGAGATGGCGGGCCTCGCGGGGTGAATACCTGTCAGAAGAAGTAGAGAGGGCATAAGTAAGAGGCTTGTGGTCAGTATAAATACAAAAATCTCCGCCCTCAATATAATTACGAAAATGCTTAATGGCTAAATAAATTGCAAGAAGTTCTCTACCAAAAGTTCTAGAGCGAGTTTGTGGGGGTGTCAATTTGGCAGAGTAGAAAGCCAAGGGTTGGGTGCCAGTGGGCGTCTGTTGCTGAAGGGCAGCACCTATAGCGAAACTGGAGGCGTCGGCCACAATGGAAAGTGGGGCATCAGGTATAGGGTGAACAAGGACAGTTGTATCCGCAAGAGCCTTCCTCGCACGATTGAAAGCCTCTACAGCTGTGTCAGGAAAAGAAAACTCACGGTTGTTCCCGCGTAAAAGGTTAGTAAGTAGTAGCATTAATTGAGCACAATGAGGGATGAAACCTCGATAGAAATTGACAAGGCCTATAAAACGGCGCAGTTGTTGCAAAGAAGTGGGAGTAGGGAAATCGCGAATAGCTGAAACTTTGGCATCTATGGGGTGACAACCAGAAGCATCTACGCGATGTCCTAGGAAAAACAGCGACTGTGCGCCAAAAACGCATTTAGAACCATTAATGTAAACGCCAAATTGGCTCAATCGTTCAAAAATGAGACGCAAATGTTGTAGGTGCTCGTGTTCACTGGAACTTGCTACCAGAACATCGTCGACGTAGACAAAAACGAACGGTAGATCGCGGAGGGCTTCGTTGATGAAACGTTGAAAAGTTTGAGCGGAGTTGCGTAGCCCAAAAGGCATCCTGACAAACTCAAACAGACCGAACGGTGTCGTAATCGCCGTTTTGGGAATGTCTTCTGGAGCAACGGGTATCTGATGGAAAGCTTTGACTAAGTCGATGTTGGAAAATATTGTTGCTCCAGCTAGGCTAGATGAAAAGTCGTGGAGATGGGGAAGTGGATACCTGTCAGGCACAGTGGAGGTGTTTAACCGTCGGTAATCCCCGCATGGGCGCCAGTCAACGAGAGACTTTTTGCACACCATATGTAGAGGTGCAGCCCATGGACTAGTGGAAGGCCTAACTATGCCTAGCTCCATCATGTGACTGAATTCAGCCTTGGCTATGGCTATTTTATCGGCGGCTAAACGACGGGGACGGCTAAACGCGGGTGGTCCAGTGGTTGAAATATAATGTACAACAGAATGCTTGATAGGTTGGTTAAATTGTGAAGGTCGTGTGATAGACGGAAATTCCGAAAGTAAACGATGATAGGGAGTAGACGAAGGGATTGTTGAAATGCGTGGATTAGGCGATGCAAGGGTACGAGTGGAACAATTACAATGTAAAGAAGTCTTAGGATCAAATAATTTATGGGACTTAATGTCAACGAGGAGACCGAAAAAGGATATAAAATCAGCGCCAAGAATGGCAGTATGGACATCAGCGATAGTAAATAGCCAACGAAATGAACGTCTTAGACCCAAATCTAGTGTTAGGGATCGTTGACCAAAAGTTTTAATAGAAGTATTGTTAGCTGCTTGGAGGAAAAATGAAGAATTTGGTGACTTACGGTCAGTCAAGGTGGGTGGGATTAGACTGACCTCCGCACCAGTATCCACGAGAAAATCACGACAGGAAGTCCTGTCATAGATGTGGAGTAAGCGACTGGGAGAGGATGTGCCGACCACGTTTGTCGCACTTACTGGTCGGCAGGGGGGTTTTCCGACGCGGGTGTTTTATACTTGCACGGATAGTGGCAGCGATGGGCGTTAGAACCATAATTGTGATGATACCAACAGAAACCATCAACTGTAGGTTTGTTTGGAGTGGGAGATCTCAGTTTATTATTTGAGGGAAATATAGGTGTTAAACCTTTGAACTCCCTATTTTTTACAAGGAGGCGAACAATAAAAAAAAATTTGAAAATGGAAACATCAAACGGCTACAGAGTTTCTTCAGATTGGCAATGTTTTGTAAGCCAGACAGATAAACGAATTGTTCCAAGAGTTAAAAACATTAACGTTACTAAATGTGCTGTACAGTAGTCTGTCTAGGGATAGTTGGTGCTATCTCAGTTTCGGAGGGAGACGAATTGAATGCCAACACACATTCAACAGACAGGGGACAATATTAAAAAAAAACAATCGTTACTGAAATACAGGAAGTAATGTAACAACATTAATAAACTGTTCGAACGAAATGTTAGACAATCTGTCAGGTGGCATTATGACGATTGGTGGCAATCTGGTCCAAGTTGCGCTTAAAAGCCTCGACGGAGGTGGACATGACGACACCTGCAGGCAGAGCATTTCAGGCCTCGATCACTCTGTTTGAAAAGAAGAACTTCCGAGTGTCCAGCTTGGCGTCAGTTACGCGTAGTTTAAGTGGATGACCTCGGAGGTTCGTTGTGGTCACTAACTCAAAGAAATCAGTAGGTACGAGACAGCAGTCCTGGCCGCGCAGTATACGGAATGTTTGTATAAGGTCGCCTCTTAGCTGTCTGTAACTCAGTGGAAAGAGGCCGAGATTGGACAATCGGGTTTCATACGGTAGTGAACCCTGTCCACTTACGAGTTTGGTTGCCCGCCTCTGAACTTTCTCAAGGATGCTGAGATCATTAGAGGTCCACGGTTTCCACGCCTGAATAGCGAACTCTAGCTGTGGCCGTACGAAAGTCCGAAAGACTTTAACGAAGCAGTCCTCATCGAAGGTAGAGAAAGCTCTCTTAACAAGATAAAGGACTGACATCGCAGACTTGGCTACCTTGGAGCAGTGAAGCGACGGTTTTAGAGAAGCCGTTACCCACACTCCCAAGTCTTTCTGGGCGTCTACCTCCTGCAATGGTACGCCGTTTAGGTGGTAAACCCTCCGGTTCAGAGATCGGGTCCTGCCGACTCGCAGGACATTACACTTAGTCACATTAAACGGCAACAGCCAGTCCTGTGACCATTTCTCGAGTCGGGTCAGGTCTGCCTGCAAGCGCTCTTCGTCAAATTCAGTTCGGATGGCGCTCCAAAGTTTAACATCATCAGCGAACATGACCACATCACAATTCAGTTCACTGACGCAGTCGTTTACGTATATAATGAATAGGGTAGGGCCAAGAACGGAGCCTTGTGGAACACCGCTTTCAACCGCTACCTCCGCCGACTGCCTGTCACCGATGTGGACCATTTGAGAGCGACCGATCAAGAAACTTTGTATCCACCTCAGGAGATTACCCCTCAGGCCTGTTCGGTTTAATTTGTACAGGAGACACTGATGGGGTACACTGTCGAATGCTTTCTTAAAGTCGACGTAGACTGCGTGCACTGCATTGCTGCCATCGACTGCCCGGGTCCAGCGATCTAAACGATATAGTAGGTTCGTCACGCATGATCTGCCTCTACGAAATCCGTGCTGGGCATCGCATAGCAGATTATGTTCTTCTAGGAAGTGCATTATTTCTCGCTTTATTATTTTCTCCATAATTTTGCAGCAAATTGAAGTAAGGCTGATTGGTCTGTAGTTGTTTGCTAAGACCTTGCTGCCGCCTTTATAAATTGGCGTGATCCGCGCTGATTTCCAATCGGAGGGCAAATAGCCTGCTTCGAACGAAGCTTGGAAGAGCATGGACAGCGGTTTGGATAGTTCTCCAGCAAGTTCCTTCAACAATTTGGGCGGTATGTCATCCGGCCCAGGTGATTTAGACTCATTCAACTTCAACAGTTCTTTGCGAACAATAGCTTCGCGAAAGAGACGTGCTCAATCGTTGGCCCGTCCACTATGTCGCAGTCGGGAGGGAGAAATGCGCTTTCCTTCGTAAAGATGGACTTAAAGAACTGTGAAAGGTGCTCTGCCTTTTCTCCGTCTTCACTGAGTTCTAGGTCGTCACTAGTTTTCAATAACGGGATTGGGTCTCTGTTTAGTGTGCTTCTTCTTATGTAACCATAGAACAACTTCGGATTTTCTGCGGCTCGATTTAGTAGGTCTTTCTCAAAAGTACGCCGCGTCCCGAGGATTAACCTCCTAACTAGGTTCCTCTGTGCTTTGTATGCATTTAACGACACATAGCTCCTATCCGAGAGGAATTTCCTCCATAACCTCCGCCTTTTATTCACTTCTTTTTTTAAAGCTTGTGTTAGCCACGGGGTTCTGCAATTTAGTTTCTTCCGTGAAATAGGACAGTGGTCTCTGAGAAGAACGTGCAGTTACTCACTAAACCAGTCCCAATCCTTGATTATGTTACCGGAAAAAGCTGATTCCCAGTTTATGGTGTTTAGTTCACCTTTTATTTGGGCAAAGTCACTGCACCAAATGTTCCTTCTAACCCTGGTGGCCTGTTCGGGCAGAGAAAAAATGGAGTACTTCCACAACAGTACGACGTGATCGCTTCGACCTAGGGGGGGTAGACATTGCACCTCATCAACGCTGTCCAGTGACTTCGTAAGGAGCAGATCCAGACAGTTTGACCGTTGCCCTTCGCGCACCCTCGTCGGAAAGGAGGCGTGCTGAGTGAGAAATAACTTGAAGGTCATGTCCAGCAAACGTCGGTCGAAAGCATGGTCTGGACCATCTTGGGCGGTGAGAAATTGCAGGACTACGAGGGTTATAGACACGAATGGCCCGGAGCTGGGAAACTTCGAGAGTGAGGGCATCCAGGCGTTTGACGACATCCTCGATTGTGTGGGCAGTTTTGCTTCGACTAGCGACGTTAACCGTAACAGGAGGCTGGTAGTACTCGAGTATACGGTTAGCAGTCTCTGCGAGCATCTGAACAGTCGAAGAAGGAATGTTAGGCGCAAAGATGGCTTGCACAGAAGGAGGCAACCGTTGGAGGAAAAGTTGCTTGAACATGGTGGCATCCAGCTTTTGTCTGTCTGCCAACTGCTCCAAGCGCCTAAGAAGCTGCGCAGGTTTCCTGTCACCGAGGTCCTCCTCAGAAATTAAGCGTTGGAGACGTTTTGCGTTGAGAGGGAAATGCGGGAAATGAGAGCCTCCTTTAGAGCAGTATAAAGGGCTTCTGTGGGCGGGCAATCTATTGCACTTCATGCGTCAAGGTCACGGCGCGCAGCTCAATTTCAAAGATAAGTGAAGCTATGCATTTATCTGGACATTCTTAAGTAATTAATGCCTGTTTTTTACTTGAGTCCGTTTTAAAAGTCGCCTTTCTATATAAGGTAAATTATTTTCCCAGTTTGTTTGAC